TAAATGTATATAAATTGAATGTACTAAAAACTAAGAGGTCAAGTCACGGCAAGACCTGTCAAAGAATAAAAAAAAAACAAAAAAAAAAACACCCCATATAGATAATTATAGAGAAATATAACTATAATTAGGTTTATCAAGCTAGTATCTATAATTTGTATCTACCAGTAGATTCATTAGTTACTATTAGGTCAATAATGTGTAAGAGTAGACTTTATTGTTAAATACTAATCATGTACTAGCATCTACTGGCTGTTTTGAAAAATTCGTATTACTAGTTCTATCACAAATAGCTAATTTAATTTTTTATATTCATAGAATGTAGAACCGCTCTAGATCGTTGATGCGAAAAAAAACTTCGAGATATTAAAAAATAAAATACATAAATTAGCATTATTGGAATCAAATTCAGATAAAGAAAAAGACATATGGCAGGCTGTAGAAATAGAGTTAAACAAGATAAATGTGAAGAAATTAGGATATGACTATCTATTATGTTCAGGAATTTTAGACAATAGTTTGGAACCATTTACTACTATATCGAAGGATTTTTTAAAAACCTTTAAAAAGCTATATAAAAAATTCAAATTGCCAGAGAGTATTAAATTGAAAAATATTTGCGTGAAGTTTGTTCAAAAAGAAAATAAAAAGTATCTCAACCTTTCTCAAAACTTCAGTAATGCAGTATTTGGTGAATTTTTAGATAAGCCTGAGAAATTGCAAGAATTAACAAATCAAATGTTAAGAGTTTTAAGTCAGATTTATAGTTCGCCTAAGTAGAAGATAACAAAACCATCCAACATAAATGAAGAATCGTATGTGTGTGATGTTTTATCACCATTAATAAATGATATACCAGTAGATTTAGATATATGGGGGTATAGTACATATGGGTGGCTTCTATAAAATATTATACAGTAAAACCTTTATATGTACATGCCCTTGGAACCAACATGCACTTAGAGATCAATAAGAGAAAATGCATTTATAGATGGTATGTATATATTTGAACCAGAACTTGAGCATGCATTTAGAGAGGGTGTGCATTTATAGAGGGTGTACTTATAGAGGTTTTACTATATATATTTGGGCCAGAACTTGAGCATGTATTCAGAAAGGGTGCACATTTATAGAGAGTGCACTAATAGAGGTTTTACTATAATGTGTTTTAGTTGCTTAGAATTCTTGACATAATATATTTTTAAATTCAAAGCGAAAAAAGGCTAGTTCAGCAAGTGCAGTGAGAAAGAGATTTTGGCAACAAGCAAGACACTCTGATTATATGGTTATTACTAAAGTAAATGGCAAGAAAGTTGAAATTGGATACCTTGAAACAGGATATCTAAAGTCTTCTTCTAATAAACAAATACAAGACTACAAAAAGCTAAACAGGTTTGGTAAGGATTCCATTGATACAATTAAATCACAGAGAAACAAAAGAGTATATGGAGATTTAGAGTTGGATTATCTATCAATATTTACAATTAATATCACTGGTAATGTGGTAGAATTCCACTCTATGTATAAAGAATTTGGTCTATATAGAGTCTGGTTGCTCAACAAAGTAAAAATCTCCTTAAACATCCTATCAGCAAAACCAGAAGATGTTTATTATCTTATCCATAACCTACTTGCTTTTAGAACAGCAATTGCATATACTATATCTAAAATGCTGTATGGCCCTGATGATACTATGGAGGTAATATCGACTATTTCAATATCATTGGCTATGTTAGTTAATTCATCAATAAGTACTGTTGGATTACTATCACATTACTCATCTTCACAGAAAAACACGAAAAAAAGAAGGACTAAAAAAAATAAGAATCAATATATTTTTGTTGCAGGTGAAACTTTTAAATAAAGCTGAGAACATTGGAATATTTTAAAAGTGTGTCTAAGTTATTAATATAGCAAAACTTCAGTAAAATTTCTATAAGTGCACGCCCTAGAAACCAAGCTTTAACAATGTGTACTTAAAGTTCAATAAAAGAAAGTGTATTTATAGAAAGCATGTATATATTTGGGCCAGAACTTGAGCATGCATTTAGAGAGGGTGAGCACTTATAGAGTATGCACTTATAGAAGTTTTACTGTATGTAAAATTGCTTTAATTTGATTGATTAATTAATGATTGTATAAATTAATATAAATTATATTTTATATGAGACCCAAAATTTATAACTTGGAGCAAAACTTCTGAAACTGGTGTAATTTTAGTTGTTAGATGAAACTTTTTTCTCATGATAACGAAAGTCGAAACTCTAAATTTATATGACAAAGACGAAACACTAGTGCTCCCACTAAAAAAAAAAACTAAAAAGTTACTTTTATTGAATTAACATTCAAAGTTCAATTTCTGATATATAATACAATATAGAATACTCATTTCTAATTCTCTTTAAGATTTAAGCATCTATCATACAATAAAATTTTTTGTAATTTTTATAAATTTCTGTCTGTTTATTTTTTTTATACACATAATCTTCAATGATTTTCAACGTTTATTTGTATGTTCGTCTTTTATTAGTTTTGTTACCCTTTATAGTTTTGTTAGTTTTGTCATTTCGTCATCTAAAATTTTAATTAACAAAGATGAAATTAGATTTCGTGTTTTATTTTGCAAATTCGTCTAACAACTATAGGTGAAATCTAAGAAATTACCAAAATTTGGCAAATTCTTTTAAGCCCTGAAACCTAAAAGTAAACTTTTGTTCTTTCTAATAGTGGAGGAATTGTTGAATGAAGTTGACCGAGATAATTGTCACATCTTTTTATTATATAATTTATTACATCATATAATAAATTATATAATAAAAGGGTGCGATAATTACCAATGTACATAAGGAGTCTATTATATGATAAATCACATTATTTTCCAAAATACTGAACACAAACATTTTAGAATAAAATTGAATACTCGTCAAATATGTTTATCACTTGTAACTTTATACTTAAATTTTTTTGATATCTCAATATAGGGTTTCTAATTTGTTTTAATAAAATAAATATTAGACAAGATTTTAATGATGTTTTATTGTTATATACTTGCTTTGATATAATTTATTTAGATATTTTATGTCATATAAGTTTTTTTAAAATTGATATTATAATTTGTAATAAAAATGATCTACATATATTCTACTCTTAATTATAGTCAAAATTCTCATGATCTAATAATCGGATCTGCATAATTTTGGTACATTCGAATCATTTTGACAAGCTGATTCGAATGGTACCAAAATTACATAGATCTGATTATTAGATTATGAGAATTTTGACTATAAAAATTGCTCCAAGGGGTGTTTAATTTCATAAGTATATGGTAATTTTTTTTTTGGTATTAAGGTGACCTCTTTGGCCTGGTGAACTTTTTATTAGAGTATAGATGGAGTTTTATATATAATTACAATGATGGTACATCAAGCCACACATACACCTTTTGAGTACCTAATTTAAATAGTTTACCCGAAGATTCTACACTATCTGCCATATCTGCACCCCAACTAGAGAATACTTATTTAAACTATCTAGTTCCAACTATCTCTATCCACCTCCTAACCTGATAGGTTTTCTCACTATTCATTTGCTAGATTTTGGTATCACCCAATCTAGATTTCATACTCTATCTTAGAATACTTAACTATCTTCAAGGTAAACTTAACATAGCAGTACATGCTCCACATATATATTCACATGCTTGTTTCTATAACTTCTTTCTAATTAGTACATATTGACTTGCTATTCTGTATTTGTATCTTACACCACCTTTTGGGGTGCTACCATTCTACAAACATTTCTCAAGCACCAACCTTCCTAACTAGGTGCTCATTACGTACTCTTTGCTCTTGTTTTAGTTCCTAGCAATCCTAGTACCCTGTACTTAGACTGTCTTTTTATCTAGATTCTTTATTGGTCCCTCTCTTACTTTCAGCCGGCAACTCGGAAGGGTTGATCTACTCAGGCTTTAGGTGCCTGTAGGATGCTCTTCCCTTGGTCCATACTTTCAGAGCATATATCCTTTTCCTCTAGTGCGACAACCCGGCGGTTCAGCTAGTATGTCCTCTGCTATTAGGATCTGGTTACTTGGTTCTCTGATCTCGGGCCCTAGTTCAAATTTAGCCTCCTGTAATACTGTCATAAATCACTACTACCTCCGAACTCGAGACTTGCCAAACAGGTTTTCAGTTATTCCAGTTCTCTGGATTTATTGTGCCGAAGCTTCCATTACTAGATGGTGTAATCAAGATTATAGATTAATCTAGATCTAACCGATAAAAAGCTATCAACTATATACAGGCCTATTTTCAAAATCGTCATCAGTAGGATTCAAACTCTAAATCTGCTACTTGAAGAGGTGATAACTAGACCACTACACTAAGTTGCTATATCTCTATAGAAATATACAATAATTAATTGATAATTTACAGAATTTTCTATATTAAATATAATGCAAATTACATATAAGCAAGACTTGAGTACCCTAGCTGGGCTCGCTAAATATAAATTTAATATCTGGTTTTCAGTTCAGCATTCCTACCAATCATATATTAATTATTCAAATCTAGGTAAGTTTTGACCACTCTAGTAGGTTTAGGTCGCAGATAAATAATTAGTCTGAGCTTTTATTTTTGCATGTAGTTTATATTTATTTATTTATATATGAATTGAGTCTTTATTCATCTTAATACCAAAAAAAAAAAAATGAATTGAGTCTTTATTTAGTTTTGTTTTTTTATGATCATTTATATAAATTATTTAATAAAGATATAAGCAAGGCCTCACCTTTTAATATTAAAATAAATAAATAAATAAACAAGGCTCAAGTTAAAATTTTCAAGCTATAAGTAAAATTATAAAATTTTCAAACAAATATAATACTAAAGTAGTAAAAATGTCAAAGTAAAACCTTAAGTTTCTAATTATAAAATTATTAAGCATTAATTTTTTTTTAAAAAAACTTTATTTCTTATACATGTGGTATTTACTATGATATACTCTATATTAATTAAATTATAAAGTAATTACATCAGCAAATTTAATAGGGCGTAATATTGCGCAATAATTTACGAAGCGTAAGAAAACCGTAATATTACGTAA